CCCAGCCGAGCACCGCAGGGACTCCTCGCTCATGCCTGCACGTTCTGTAGTGATGCGTGGTTTTTTGAGAGAAAGATGTGCCCCAGACACCGCCATGCTGCAACAACTTTTTTTATCGGTGATGGACAAGGCAACACGGATGTTGGAGGCAGTCGGCGAGTTTCTTTTTGCTGCAACCCGCATGCAGTTTTCTTGGAATCGGTGAGTAGAATTGATGGGATCGTCGAGCCAGTCAATGTGGGTTGGGAAGCTGCAACCTGTGACCGAATTTGCTGCTAGTGGAGAGAGGATTTGCTGGATCCGGTGACTTGATTTTGCCGGCGACCTAAAAAATGGCAGCGTTTTTTTGCCACCCGACGGCAATTTTTTGTTGCATCCGGTAACAATATTTTTTGCTACTATCGTGAACCGGCTTCGTTTGATGCTACATCCGACATAGACGATGCTAAGGCGGACGACCACGTTTTTGCTAGTATCGGTGTTTGCAGGTGCCGGAACTGGCGTCCTTCGATGCTACTATCGACATTTTTTTGCTACTATCGGCGTTTATAGGTGCTGGAACCAGCGTCCTTCGATGCTACATCCAGCAACGACGATACTACGGTGGGCCGACATCGTTTTTGCTACTACCGATGATTGCAGGTGTTGGAAATGGCGTCCTTGGATGCTACATCCGGCAAGCGATGATGCTACGACCGACAACTCTGCGCTGGACGCTGCAACAAGCAAAAATCGGTGTTGGTGTTGTGGCATCCTGCTACTACCACCACTAGCACGACGTCGGCGCCATGATTGAAACAGTGAGGACGGATGCCGCGAGCTGCAAGGAGGGCGAGGGCGGCGGCGCTTCGAGGTTAGTCGCCTCGCTCAGCCACCGCGGCCGCTGCTCCTGTTTTTCCTCTGTGTTTTTTGTCGGATGCGTTTTCTTTTGAGGAGAAAAAAAATGATACGCGACGGACAGAAGCGTCCGAATCCAACGCTGGCGCGGTGACCGGCCGGAAATGAGGCCGGCCGGCCGGCCGAGAACAAAACACCGTTCGGCGAGCTGCTCAGGTGCCACATTGCCCCGACAGGTGGGCCCTCTTCCTCTCGTCTGGATAGAGCCGGCGGGGCTGGCGCTCCCGCTCATGGCGCTGCTGCTGCGGCGGCGTGGGGCAGGCGGCACCGCCGGACCGCCATCCGCGGAGGCGGTTGACGCGCCGCGCCCCGCTGCGAGGGGAGGAAGACGATGAGGTCGGGCCCTGGCCAGTCCGGTCTGGTCTCCGTCGACCCGGACTGCCTCACGCTCGCGGTTCCAGAAGCCGAGTTTGCTGATGCGGTGCCTGGGGGCATCACCCGCGCCGCGGTCGCCGTTCGCCACAGGCCCACATCTATTTCGCATCTTGGCCCACAACCAGGCCCAGGTCGGTAGCACCCGCATCTTACCCCCCAATATAGAGTGCGCAACATTTTTGATTTGGTATAATGAGATGATAATTGCAAGGTTCTGACAGAATAATAGTACGTTTGACAGCCTGAAATGTAGACACTACTAGTACTACTATTTAGAGAAGGCCAGAGAGGGTATTAGGCAGCAGGCAGTTCATCTTAAATCAGATCAGTAATCAACCTATTTTGCAGCCTTGTTGCCCTGCTTCCTTAGAGTGGAGAATGACTACCCATTGAACATCGTTTGGTGCGAGATGCATACAGTTTGGACAGTTACAAACAATTTGGTGTATATATTTGTATTTTCGGGGTGGGAGGATGCAAGAATTTTACTTTCTTTGCAGCTGGACACACCTAGGGGTATACTGTCTAGCGTAATCATTGCATTAAGTTTTTTTTGAAAGGACAATCATTGCATTAAGTTAGGCACAAAGCATGAACACGGATTTAACTTGGCTTGGGTCTTGGGATAGGGTCAACTGGTCAAGTCTCTCTTAATTGACTATTCGAAAAACTGCTCAAGTCTTGACCCCCCAAAGTCATGAACACATAATTGAATATATATTCCACTCTGAGATTAACTTTGCAAATACTATATACTCTACTCTCTAAGCACTAACTATTGCAATTAGTTTTGAGAGGCACCATCATTTGGTTGTAGTATTTAAGTACTACTACTAGAATTGGGCAGACAGACCCAAGCTAATCCCCATCTACTCTCTTCTTTCCACAGAATTTGTCCTCTGCCTCATGGTAAACACGGTGCAGAATTGTAAACTAACCAAGCAGCCTGTCTCATGTAAGTCATCCTATTTACTCGTCATGGATGCACATGCCTTTCATAGTATGTACACGGAAAATGCGTATGTCTTGTTGGTACTAACAGTTTTCTTTCCTATCTTGTTCTCCAGTTGTTTTAGTTCCAGTGGAGCAATGGCTCGAGGACCGATTCAGATCTGGAATGAGTGGGCAATCCAAATCCTCGTCGGACTGAGCTTCACACTACAGATTTTCCTCTTTCTCTTTGCTAGGACCCGTCGGCGTGGACCCTCAGCCATGCTGAAGATCCTCCTCTGGCTCGCGTACCTCATGGCCGACTCCACCGCTGTCTACACTCTCGGCCATCTTTCCATCAACCCCTCACCACACGAGGAGAAGCTCGCAGTATTTTGGGCGCCCTTTCTCCTGGTGCATCTTGGTAGCCAGGACACCATCACCGCTTACGCCCTTGAGGACAACAAGCTCTGGCCACGCCACCTGTTAAATCTCGGCGTCCAAGCCTTTGGGGTTGCTTATGTCCTCTATAAGCACATCGCTGAGATCCCAACCTCATTGGGGTTAGCTACCTGTTTGATGTTCGTCATTGGTTTCATCAAGTATGGGGAGAGGATATGGGCTCTCAAGTGTGCCACCCTGGACAGCATCCTGAGCTCTATCAGGGAATTTCAGTTTCTCCCTACTTACTACGTTGCGCTTCCGTCCCTCGGAGCGAGGGCAGAAGAGCGAGATGAAGAAGAGCTCCTCCTGTTTGCTCAAGGCATGCTCCCTCGGTGCAAGGGTGCTATTGCTGATTTTCCTGTGGCTTTGTTTGGGATGTCGAGATCGTCATTTTAAGGTGTCCAGTAATTTTGAATTGAACTGGAACTGGAATTTGAAAGCTACGCTCAAGGTGGTGGAGATGGAGCTCTCCCTCATGTACGACATCCTCTACACCAAGGCTGTGGTGATCCACAACTGGTATGGTTACTGCATCCGTGTATTCTCGCCGCTCGCGACTATTGTCGTGTTCATACTGTTCCAGTTAAGTGGTAATAAAGATGATTACAGTAAAGTTGATCTTACTATCACCTACATCTTGTTGGTTGGTGCCTTCCTTCTGGACTTGGCGTCATTGTTGAGTGCTTTGGGGTCGACCTGGGCATGTAATTCCTTGTTAACTAGAGGCTGGATTAGGCTGGGTCTTGTCATACTGTCTCTCCGTCAACATGTCAAGGCTGCTAGAGGCAATAGAAGATGGTCTGGCTCCATTGGTCAGTTTAACTTGCTGCATTTCTGCTCTCGTGACAATACCAAGCTAAGCATCAGAGTGGCCAAGATGATGAGGCTTGAGGATTGGTGGAACAAATGGCATTATGTGGAGACCGTAGTGATTTCAGAAGATGCCAAGGAGTTGGTGTTCCGATATGTGTGGCAAGCACTGAAGAAGATTCATGACCCCAGAGCAAAGGATGAGACTCAGTCCCGACCTTACATGGAGAGCCCCATGGCAATGACGACAACCAAGATCTACTGTATGTCCTTTGGTCCTGAACCATACGAAGATACTGCCCGGAGGCGTATGAAATTAGCCGAAGCTCTGGGCTTTGGTGCTGAACTCCAAGAGGTGACCCTGACCTGGCACGTCTTCACGGATGTTTTTCTCTTGTTCAGCAGAGGTCCTCCCAAGGACGTGGATGCAGCATCATCCACATATGTGAAGGCGATCAAGGCGATGTCAGATTACATGGTTTTCCTCATCGCTATACGCTCTGACACGATACCTGGTCTCGAGCTACACAACCTATACAAAGCAACTCGCAAGGCTTTGGAGGTAGAATTGCGTTTTTCTTGTGAGCAAACATGTAGAGGAGCAGCTTGCCAGCATCCTGCAAAACAGGATACATGTTTCACTTGGAAGGGCGATCATTATTCTCTCGCACGGATTTTTTATGCCAAGCTACTGCTAGAGCTGGTAGATACAGGAAATTCTGACAAGTTAGGTGTCATATCTACTTATGAAGATACTGATCATGCTGCCGTTGATAAACTGAAGAGACTGATACCAGACCTGGAACCCTCATGCAGAGGTGGTGTGTTCGATATGCCCAAAGCGTTGTCACTCATCTTGGATGCATGGGTGCGTCTGCTCATCTTCTTGTCAGCCCGATGTAGCAGGGACGTCCATGCCAGACAGATCAGCTGTGGCGGCGAGATCAGGACCATCGTCTGGCTCATGGAAGAACATGCCAGCATGCTCTTCAAGCGACCTGAAACTGACCTCCAGGAACCTGCTGCCTAGTGATCAGTGTCCAGTTATCTCACTTTTATTTCCTCCGCCGAGATTCCTGTTATCACTCAAATTTGTATTTTAGAGAAAGGAAGCTCGTATTGCTCCTGGCGGCCATCACACAAATTTGTACTCTTTGTTCATTCTGTTGCTGCTTGTAATTAGATATATTTGTCGGCAGCTAGGAGCATGAACAAAAAATAATTTTAGAGTACCCTCTAAAAATTATAGCAATAGAGGGCCACATAGGAGATTTGTTAGAGTGGATCAAAACTCTATACTGGTATCCTTTTTTGGAGAGTGGAGGGGTTTTAAGGGAATCTGTTAGACTTAGGGTTGCTCTTAGCTGAACTTTTTCCCTCTCTTTAATATTGTGTATAATAAAATGGCCACGGTCGAGCAGGTTGTCACTTCTGAATGGTTGCGTAGGAACTTATTTGGTGACAGAATTATTCATTTAGAACAGCTGCAAGCATTGTGCAGTTCTAAGGTATTAACTGAAGATAGAGATGCATGGAGTTATTTGGAAACCTTGAAAGGATGGTAAGTTCAGAGTAAAATTATAGACTGCTAGTTAAAACACTGATTGATTTTCCCACATAAGTTTTTTTTGGAAGGCCAAGATCCCTTCCAGGAGGGCGGTGACTGTTCCTTTTCTTTTGGAACTTTGCCTGGGAACTGTGAGAAGATATTTGGTATTATGTCGAGTTAAAGTTTTGTTGCGAGAGACAGAGATGTTCTTTCCGTGGGGATTGTTTCACTGCTATGGTGTGCCTGGATAATGCAAAATGCTTCATGTTTCGAGCGCAAAGTGGTAATACACCCCCAATGAGCTGATTTTTTATGTCAGTCGAATTTCTCAATCCTGGGCTGCATTGCAGAAAAACGGAGCAACTAGTAAGTTGATGGTGATTCAAGGAGCTTGACTGATGGAGCAAATCGTGCAGAAAGTCTTTGATGCTGTGAGGGGATTGGAGACCAACAGCGCCCAGACTCGAGTGGATGCCATGCCACCGTACTCATAGTTGTTCGTTTTGGTTGTTCAATTCTGTCTTGCAAATCGCTTTAATTAAACATGTAGCGAATTGATTTCTGTTCATGAAAATGGGGGGAATCTCCTTTCTAAAAAATAGGTACGATAAAGAACTGAGTGCTAAAGAAAGACAATACTAAAGAGGAGACTTGAGTTGGTCAGGTCGTCTAGTTGGGCCATGGACAGTCACTTACTCACTTTCCATTGAATATATATTTTGTTTGAATAATTCCCATTCAGTCCGTAATGGACATGATTAACAAACGAAGACTCGCTATGGTCTTTTATGTTTATAGAGTATGGCCATGACGAAACCTATGATAGTTATTGCTGGCTAATCAGGTCTGCAACCAGTAAGATAATACTTGGCACGTGTGTACATATTTGTGTTTGGAATTTGACTTGGCTTGCAGTAGTAACACACCTACCGTAGCCTGATGGGTTCTACAAGCAGTAGTTTATTCTTGAGTATTCCTATTCAATTTTCAAGTTTATTATAATCACCAATTATTGCAAGGGGTGTCATGATTTAGTTGTAGTAGTAGTACTATTTAAGTACTAGTGTTGGGTAGATGGACTGAAGCTACAACCACCATTCCTCTCTTCATTTCACAAAATTGGTCCTGTGCCTGATGCTATCACGCTGGTATGAACTCGCCATCCTCTCTTTGTCCATGGAATTTGTCATGTGCCTGAAGCTGTTGTACAACTGTAGACTGCTTAAGCAGACTGTTTCTTGTAAGTCATCCAGCCACCATATAGAAATCAAATAACAGGAGCATCATGATGCAGTAGTTGGCCTTGCTGTTTTAAGCTGTGGTGTGTGGACAGCTAGAAACAAAGTTATGTTTGATAAGCATGTGCTGAGATCTCCTCTGGAAAATACCTATGGTATGTACTCATTTCTTCTGTTCTGGGCAGGACTGTAGGAAGATGAAGATAAGGCGACTCTGAAAGATTGTGCGTCCAAGATGATTTAGAAAGTGCTGGCGTTGATGCAGGTAGAGCTCGTGGACCCAATCAAGCTAAGCGCTTACGGGTACCTACGTAACACTGGGACTTTGGTTGCATGATGAAACGCAGTAGATCCACTCACTCGAAATGGTTAGAGAAGAGGCCAACCGGCATATCTTTAATCTGCCGGCCAACACTTGCATTCGATTCTTATATCATCGCCGCATATAAAATCGTTGGGGAAGAGACAAGAGATAGGACATGGTTTGGCAGGTTGAGGCAATAATTAGCAGTACTATATAAACTCTCTTAATTAAGCACACCTATTCTAGTGAGAGGGGTACTAGTAGTAGGAGTATATATTTGGGGACTGGGGTATTTGTTAATTGTTCAACTTTGGACTTTATGAGTCCATATATATGTTACTCTCTATCACCAATTATTGAGTTGAGTTACGGAAGGCGTCATCATTTGGTTGTATTAGTACCACTTAAGTACTGGTGTTGAGCTGATGGATCAAATGCTCTCTTAATTCCACAGGATTTGTCCTATGCCTGATGCTGTTGCACGGTGTAGAGCTGTAGACTCTCCATCCTCTCTTCATTCCGCAGAATTTATCATATGCCTGATGCTGTCGAGTGAACCATCTCTTGTAAGTCATCCTATTTACTCGTCATGCATACACGTTCCTACCGTATTACCGTAGAAATGCATAGATCTTCGATGTCTCCATACATTCTTGACGCCATATTGTTGATATTCTGTATCATCGTGATGCATAATGAATTGCTCTGTTATTGAGCAAAAATGAATAAATAGATTTAGTTGCTAATAAGAGTTTTCTTTATTTTTTACTGTAGTAGTACAAAATTAACTTTCGTTGGAGCAATGGCTGGAGGACCGATTCAGTTCTGGAGGGAATGGGCGACCCAAATCCTCGTTCTACTTAGCTTCGCTCTGCAGATTTTCCTCTTCCTCTTTGCTAGGACCCGTCGGCGTGGACCCTCTGCCGTGCTGAAGATCCTCCTCTGGTTGGCGTACCTCATGGCTGATTCAACCGCTGTCTACACCCTGGGACATCTTTCCATCAATGGCTCATTGCGCGAGCATGAGCTGGTGGTGTTTTGGGCGCCCTTCCTGCTCGTGCATCTAGGTAGCCAGGATACCATCACTGCCTACGCCCTCGAGGACAACAAGCTGTGGCCACGCCACCTGCTAAATCTTGGCGTCCAAGCCTTTGGGGTTGCTTATGTTCTCTATAAGCATATCGCCGAGATCCCAACCTTGCTGGGATTGGCTACTGGCTTGATGTTCGGCATTGGTCTCATCAAGTATGGGGAGAGGATATGGGCCCTCAAGTGTGCCACCCTGGATAGCATTCGGAGCTCTATCAGAGAACCTCACACTCTCGGTACTTACTACCGTTACCTTGAACCAAAGGGAATAGGCTGCGATGAAGAAGAGCTCCTGCTTTATGCTCAAGACATGCTCCCCCTTTGCAAGGGTGCTATGGTTGATTCTTCTGTGGCTTTGTTTATGTACGAATCTTCAACTAGTTTGGGCTTCTCCAAATGTTATGTAGAGAACTGGAACTGGAAAGCTACCTACAAGGTGGTGGAGATGGAGATATCCCTGATGTATGACATCATCTACACCAAGGCGGCGGTGATCCACACTTGGTACGGCTACCTGTTCCGTCTGGTTTCACCCCTGGCCACTGTCTTTGCGTTCGTACTGTTTCAATTAAGTGTCAATGAAAATGGTTACAGCAGAGTTGATGTTGTTATCACTTACTCCCTCCGTTCCAAAATAGATGACTCAACTTTATACTAACATTAGTGTAAAGTTGAGTCATCTATTTTGGAACGGAGGGAGTACATCTTATTGGTTGGTGCCCTCCTCCTGGACATGGCGTCATTGTTCAGTACTTTGTGGTCAACTAGGACACTTTATCACCTATTGATTAGAGGGTGGTGGAAGCTCAGCTATGTCACCGTTTTCCTCCGCCAACTTGTCAAGGCTGCTCAACGCAACAGGGGGTGGTCAGGCTCTGTTGGGCAGTTTAACTTGCTGCAGTTCTGCTCGCGTGACACGACCAAGCTAAGCAGCAGAGTGGCCAAGATGTTGGGGCTCGAGGATTGGTGGAACAAATGGCGCTATTGTGAGACCCTGGTGATTTCCGAGGATGTCAAGGAGTTGGTGTTCAAACTTGTATGGCAAATACTAAAGGTGATCCAGGATCCATTGACAAGATATGAGTCTCAGTCCTCACCCCACAAGAAGGGCGTGGAGGAGGCCATAGCAGAGATGCCATACGAACGCCAGGGTCTAGGCTTTGGTCCTGAGTCATATGAAGATACTGCCCGGAGGCATATGGAATTAGCCGAAGGTCTGGGCTTCGGAGCTGAACTCCAAGAGGTGATCCTTACCTGGCACGTCTTTACGGATTTTTTCCTCTTGTTCGTCCGCACCCCCGAGGACAAGGATGCACCAGCATCTACATATCTGAAGGCGATCAATGCGCTGGCAAATTACATGGTTTTCCTCATCGCTGTACGGCCCGACACGATATCTGGTCTGGAGCTACGCAGCATGTACGAAGCAACTCGTGACGCTTTGGATGAATTGTGGATTGTGGCGTCTGGCATGCATGAATATCCTTCAGAGCCCAGATTTACAACAGAGCAGGTGATTCCCTACATCCTGCAAAGCGGTGGGGGCAAGAATATGTCCGGCAAGTCAAGCATTATTCTTCCGCGTACGGAATTCTACGCCCGCCTGCTGCTAGAACTGGTAGACATAAGCAAGCCTGACAAGTCTGACATCATATCCTGTTATGAACGTCATGATGGTGCTGCCATGGAGAAACTGAAGCTTCTGATGCCAGACCTGGAATACTGGTGCAGAAATATTGGTGTGTTCGATATGCCCAGAGCGTTGGCGCTCATCTTGGATACGTGGGTGCGTCTGCTCATCTTCGTGTCTGTCCGATGCAGCAGAGACGCCCATGCCAAACAGATCAGCTGTGGCGGCGAGCTCACGACCGTCGTTTGGCTCATGGAAGAACATGCTGCCATCTTTCGGGAACCACCTGCAGAAGATTAGCATGCACCCGCATACTTCGATTCCCCTTGGGGTGGATCCAGTTCATCGGAAGATCCTTTAAGTGTGTTATACTAATTGTATCTCCTCTATTTCTATTCCTCTGCTAAGTTTCTTGCCATTGCACAAATTTGTAACCATAGATAAATTAGACTCCTTAGTGTCTTTAGTGTCCTTTTGTTCAGCCGGTTGTGGCTTTGAGTTGTTTATTTTTTTTATTTTGCTTTTTTTATGAGCTGTACTTTGTAGACCAGACTATTTGTTTTGTTGGACTTGCTCTAATAAAATGGCCGCATGCATCTTTCAGATGCAGAGGCCGGGGGATGACCTCCACTTAAAAAAAAGACAAATTAGACTCCCGGCCATCACAGAAAATTATACCCTTTCCCTCTGTTGTTGTTTGTGATAACCAGCAATCTCGAGGCCCGAGGGCACGGTGAAAGGCTTTTGTTGTTTGGCCAAGCCGCCCATGCTCCGTATTTTTGCAAAAGGGATTATATAACCTCTTGGGAAAGGACTTGCCTGAATGTTTGACTTGCGAGGCAACAACTTCACATAATCTCTGAATGTTCGACTTGTTTCTGTACGAAAACTGGTTCCACTTTCCAGTCCGTATTTTTTTAATCAGCTGATGTTTTTTTAATCATTCACTTGCATGAGAGACCATTTATGTTGTACTTGATTCTGCTTGGTCACTTGTAAGTTAGGTTGTGTTGACTGAACAAGAAACGAGGGAGGGATTCATGATCACTATGGCAAAATAAAGTCACATCTGACGGACCTGGATATTTGTTCCTAAATTTTTGTCAAATTGTAATATGCACTACTAGAAAAAGGCCTACTAATGGCGCACCAGCTGGTGGTGCGCCATTAGAATAGCCCACGGTGCGTCATTAGTATCTGTATACTAATGGCGCACCACATAGAAGTGCGCCATTAGTAACAATATTTTTTTAGAATTTTTTTTAAAAAAATATTTCAATTTTTTTTTCAATTTTTTTTGTTTTTTTTCTTAATCTCAGTTCACTATGGCTTAATCTTGGGTCAATATGCTTAATCTCAGGTCAAATCGCACTCCGTGGTCAAACTTCCCGAAATATCACCCATCCTCACACTACTCCAGCCCAAGCACGCTTAACTTCAGAGTTTTATCCAACACCAGCAACAACTCACTTCACAGGCATATATCTAGCATATCAATCCTATTATACCTTGTTGATGTCTAGGACTTTGTTCACGTTCATGACTATGATGAAATTTTGAAAAATATTTCAAACTTTCCGGTCATATTACGTATCAATTTTTGAAAAAAAATTCAAAAAAAAAATTCAAAACCAATTTTTTTTTCTGTTACTAGTGGCGCACTACATCCACGGTGCGCCATTAGTAAGTTTGAATTTTTTTGCCTCTAGATCTTGAAAGCCCCGTAATTTTTTTTCTGTTAGGTTTTTGGGGATTTTGAAAATGTTTAACGGGGTTCCCTCCGTTAAATTTGGATGTAACTTTTCGAGTAGATGATTTTTCATATAAAAAACTTTTTCATCCGAGTTCGTATGCAAAAGTTATGGTCATTTTACTAATTTTCAGGGAGATTTTGCAAATAAAGTCGAAATTCATATTGTAAATTTTCCCAACAACTAGACGACATATCACATGGGAAACTTATTTTCTTTAATTTTTTTGACATTTCCATCATTTTCTTTTATTTTTTTTTAAACTGAAAAGGCGATCCCGGGGGGGTGCATTCGGTGTTGGGGCAAGTTAGTAATGGCGCACCGTGGGGTGGTGCGCCACTACTAGTTAAAACTAGTAATGGCGCATCGAGACATGGTGCGCCATTAGTAACAAATATTTTTTTATTTTTATTTTTACTTTTTTTCAAAACTACTAATGGCGCACGGCGGATGTGGTGCGCCATTACTATGTCAACTATTAATTGCGCACGGCGGACATGGTGCGCCATTAGTAACAACTTTTTTATGTTTTTTTTTCAAAACTACTAATGGTGCACCACACACCAGGTGCGCCATTAATAATATATTACTAATGGCGCACTGAGGCATGGTGCGCCATTAGAATATAGTAATGGCGCACCACATGACAGGTGCACCATTAGTGGCCATTCTATCTATAGCCCTTTTTGTAGTAGTGATGAACCGCTGTATACGTTTTGTTTATCGAATTCCAAGATAGTTATAGTATGCGAAATGGAGCCGCTGATCCTCGGCTGTACAGTTATGTGAAACGATCACATACTCTCTTTTGTGAAGTATGTGATCCTTCATTCGCATGAGAGATCACATCGAAGATCTTCATTTTACGTAACAAGTGAAAGAACAGCAGAGGCATCAGCCGTTGACTGTCTAGTTTTTTGACTAGTATTTTTGTGTGTGTGTGTGTGTGTATATATATATATATGAAAATGGGTTGGTACTCCTAGGAGTACATACTCCCACCTACACCCATCATCGTTGCAACCATTCACCCCGCTAACTACAAAAAAAAAACTAACTAACTCCGGATAAAGCCTTTGGATTTGAAAATTAGTTGAACTGGTTCCTTTTTTTCAGCTCTCGTAGGCGTGTCTTCCAGGGATTCCATTAGAAACAGCGTTCTCATCTCTTGCCAGCACCCACGAACATAAAAAAAAAAGAGCATCGGCTCACCTCCTCCGCCGCCGACCGACCGCCAGACTTGGTCGACATGGCCGACGATGATCCCTGTGCTTCTTCCCTGTGGGAGGCTTCAACCAGCACGTCCATCAATCGGAGGAAGATTGATTCATCATCTCTAGTTTCCGAGGGTACGTGCAATTGGTGTTCCCGATTTTTCTGTTCGGCTACCACAACCGTGTGTATGTTTCCGCTGATCTCTCGATCCATTCCTTTCCAGTATTGTCATCGTCGGAGAAGAAAATAGGATGAGGATGATTGATCGGCCAAGTCTACTAGTACTAGGTAAGGTGTCGTTCCAGTCAAATTGATGCATTCATCTTTTGTTACTTTTGTTCCAGGCTGCATTTGTTAGTCAGATCGAGCACCCTAGGAGTCGAGATCTTGTTAACTTACTAATAATTTCTATATACCTGCAGCGTTATGGCCTATGGTGCAGGGCAAAGACGACAAGGACGACATGCGGCGGCGACGTGGCCATGGTGAAGCTACTTCGTCCGGCTACTCCATGGCCGGCGTGTCTGCTGTCCTCTTAATCTGTCACACGTACGTCCCGGTGCATGCCTGGTGTCAGGCCGAAGAGCACACAAAACTACATCTAGGCCCTGGCCACTAGCAACCGCTGATGCACTTAGCCTCTTACCCAATGTATTCATATTGTACGCATATAATAAAGTGGCTAGTACGTCGACGTAGAAATAATTAGGAGCTTGCTTTGCACTCACACAATCGAGTCATGATTGTTACTGTTGATCAAAATTTTATGTATTTTTTATGCCTGATGGGTTTACTACTTCTTCGGTTGTATATAAAGCTTCCAAAAAAAATTAGTATATAATCCTCCAGAATAAATCAGTATATAGTCCTCCTAAAAAATGAGTATATACACTTTGTAACGCAGCATATACCCCATCAAAAAATATAGTATAATGCTGTAGAAATAAGACATACTCCTTTTGTAGTCGCATATACCCAATCACAAAAATACACTGAAATAATTAGTAATACATACTCCTTTTCTATTTTGGAAATGAACGTCCATTTCCCTCTTCAGCAAGTGCTTTATTTTTCTATGGGTAGCCTTGTGTTTTTACTGCCATACGACGACATTACAAAATGTATTACACCCATTATTCATCTAGTTTTTAAAGTACTCTTTTATGCATACTTTGAATTTATCACTCATTTTGGCGACCAGCCCGCTCTCTCATTGCAGCTACTCAACTCTCACATAAAGCCAGTATATCTCACGTAAAAAAAAAGCAGTATCGACTCCCTTACGGAAAAAGAAGTATATACTCCCCTACCAAAAAAGGTAGTATATGCTCCATTACCAAGAAGGCAGTATATATATACTCATACACAAAAGGTGGTATATATTGTCTTCCCAAAGAAGTAGTATATATCTTTTTCCTTGCGTTAAAGAAGTAGTATAACCAGAACAGATAGTTCATACTTGTGTGCAGAAAAAAGTAGTATATATATGAAGAGTGAGTATGGTAGATATGTATCGGTCCTTACAAAAAAAAATCAACCACTGTTATTGTTTACTTGCACCGAACGAACCTTATCTGTATGCTAGGATCCTTGAATCTCTCAATCTGTTGATGCACATGCATGCATGCATGCATCGGCCGGTGGAACAATTGGCGACTAGATCTAATAACTGCCACCCTCTTTAGTCCACGGGAGTGCATACTCCCGGGAGTATAAAAGAGGT